CTTAAAAAAAAAAAAAAAAAAAAAAAACAATGAAAAAAATAAAGGGAGAGCGGAAAGGTATTCATGTTAGCCTGTATGAAAGCTGAAAAAAATTGTGATTTACTGAGACAGAGACGGTACAGTAAGCACTGATACATTTAGAAGGGTAAAACTCATTTGGAAGTCTAAATCAGTGTATGAACATAGATGAGTGGGTGTACAAATATTGATATAGATATCGATATATATATACATATATATATATATATATATATATATATGTGTGTGTGTGTATATATATATATATGTATATATATATGTATATATATATATATATATATATATATATATATATATATATATATATATATATACATATATATATATATACATATATATATATGTATATATATGTATATATATATACATAAGAAAAGAATACACAAACACACACACACACACATGCATATGTATATATATGTATATATATATGTATATATATATATATATATATATATATATATATATATGCATATATATATGTATATATATGTATATATATATACATAAGAAAAGAATACACAAACACACACACACACACATGCATATGTATATATGTATACATATATGTGTGTGTGTGTGTGTGTGTGTGTGTGTGTGTGCGCGTGTGTGTGTGCACATAAATATACATGTGTGTCCCGTAAAGGTGACCGTAGAGGTAACCAATAAAAAGTTAAAACCGGATATATCTGTGTATGCACCAATCACCTGATGACCAAATTCAAGTCAGATGATACGCTGCAACTTGCGACCGTGGTTATATGATGCTGTGCGGCATTGATGACCGGTTTGTTGCATATTCCTTTCAGACTAAAATCGACAAACAACACTTTCAAATTTGATGTATAGTGTAGCCATACAACGAAACATCTAAACTGCATCACGCTCCCTTGTTTAATAAATATACTCTATTCCCATTACAGGCCACTGTTTTCCTATCATTTTTATGATTTATTTGGATATATCTGCTCTGTGTATATCCACAAAGTTACAGTAATCATAATAATGTTTGTAATGTTAGCGGTAATTATACCATTAATATCATACACACACTTATATATATCTTTTGATCATATACTACCGAAACTAACAACAAGAGCAACGACCACAGAATAACAAAATTTTGAAGTTCCATGAATGACTAAGACGTCGCGCCAAGACATATATATCATTAAGAAGGGTCTATGAATGGCTCGATCAGTCTCGGTTTCGCCCAAAGTTCGCGTAAGCTTTATAAGAACCTGAATCCCCCCGGAGGCTCTCAGTGCCTTACAGGATTCCGGGGTGAGTCTGCTCATTTCTCCCTCTTGTTGCGAGGTTTCGAAGGTTAGAGTTGCAATTTAAAACGTGAAAAACGAACGTTTGGTTTTGGTTATTCCTTTTGTTTGCCATTTCTGCTGGGTATTAAGGAGTTCCCACCTGTTGCACATTATAAATCTCCATAATAGTCGTCGTATGAGAGACATTAGATCCCTTTATACTATAGGTCCCCGTCTTTTTTTAGCCTTTGTATCCCTTAGGCATTCTGACGAGTGTCATCCTCATTACGGAATCGAATAATAACACTGATAGATTGCTACTCATTTTTAACTTGCTGCATGACAGAGGAAGGAGATCCAACTTGTTAGCTGTTGTCCTTATTAGCATATTTGCATTATAAGTGTTCTGTACTACTTGTTCCACGTCAGTCATGGAATACACTATTCATCAGTGTACCCTATGATTATTATTCAACACCCCTATGTATCCTGAGATGTGATAAGGAGTATATGTAACTAGACTGGGAACCCTGCTTGAAAGAAAGGGAAGGAAAACAAATCCGAGAAGGCAAGAACTCAAGCGGTATGTTCTCTACTTGAGCCATTCGTTGCCACTTGTCCACGCGGTCAGAGGTAGAGGACTAAAATAAAGTATGATCTATTTTGGCAATTTCCAATTCTCTCTTTTTTATCGTTTTTTAAAAAGAACATCAGCAGGATAATTCACTACTCGGGAAACAACGTAAAAATACCTAGTCAAGGACGACTGTTCGAAAGTTTCTGATTAACGTGCGCGTTTTGGCACAACTTTGTATATAATACGATATGTTTTCCTTCACAGTTATTGTCGTTGGACGTAAACTTTTTAACAATCGACTTTAAATTGCATTATGAGGGAATCATTTGTGAAATCACTCTAAGATCACTCTTACTGTCCCGAGAGATGTACATAAAGTCGTGACGCTGTTGTTAATTCAATTCTACGTGCTGGCCAGTATTTGTTAACTAATTCGTTATAAATTCTTTCCTCAGATTCTCTTCTTGCTTAAAAAAAAAAAAAAAATTGGTCTCCTCTGTCAATCTTATCCTCCTTCCTATTCCCCATCCCTCCCTATCCCTTCACTCTCCATCCATTGCTTCTTCTCTTTCTCATCCTCCCCCAATTCCTTCCTTCCTCACAATGGACGCCTCGGGCTGTTCCT